TCAAAGGTACAGCTGGGCTTCACAGGCTCTTCCTGCAATGTCAAATAGCCAAAAGGTCCCCTTTTGCTACACAGACATAGGTGAGGAGATCTGAGTTAGTCAACCAAAACATTACTTGACTTTACAACTCCAAAGGCAACAGCTATGCTCTCCTGACCCTCTTTGACAAGGTCCCTGTGCCTTTAAATATTTTTCAGTTTGGTAAACAGCTGACGTGCAAGCAAGAACACACATTTCTTGAGATACCCATCAGCAGGAGTCTCCAAGTATGCGAAACAGCAAGATAAGCATATTCGAATACCTAGGCTGGGATTCTAAACACTGGGCAGAGACTCTGAAACGTGCAGCGTGTGGGGAAGGTGCTCTGGTGGCACAAAGGTTAGGCACTTGGCTGTGAACTAAAAGGCTGGTGGTTCAAACCCACCTGGAGACTTTGAGGGAGGAAAGACTCAGCGAGCTGCTCCCGTAAAGACGGCTGTTGTGTCAGTACCGTCGAGTTAGTCCTGACTCATGGCGAATCCAGCATAGGGTTTCCAAGGAGCAGCTGGTAGGTTTGAATTGCCGACCTTGCAGTTAGCTGTCCAGTGCTGACCCTATAGCGCCACCGCTGCTCATGTAAAGCTCCTTATCCTATAGTGCCACACCACCCTGTAAAGAGGACAGCCAAGAAAACGCTATGGGGCAGTTCTACTGACACATGAGATGACATCAGTCGAAAATCAACTCAATAGCACCTAACTACAGTGTGCTAGAGAGACAAACTCCCTAAAGTGATTCCTGATCTAAGGAAGAGACAACCACCATGGTGGTGATCCTGAGCTGGCCCAGCACCTCACGTGACAGATCAGGGAAGTGAAGCCTGGAAGCACGGGTTTATTCAAGGTCCCACAACAGGGATGGGCCAGCATTAGCTCCTGCGTCATGTGGAAGGAAGCTCTGCAGCCAACATCTCCCCAACACAAAACCACTGCCTCAGATCCCCGCTCCCAGGGGTCTGCCCTACAGCTGTACTTGCCCCTAGCAGATGGGCACATTCTAAAGGTCCAGCAGTGAGGGCTGCTAACAAGACCAGGGGCACATCCACACCTGGTAACGCTGTGGCAAATCAACACGTGCTAATATGGGACAGCCGCCAAGACACGCTGTGCACTGGAAATGGCAGAGCAGGTGGGGAACATGACGCCAGGGTGAGAGAGAGATATTTATAATCACTGGACCCAGAAGGACACTTGACAAAAAACAGGGCCACGAAAGAGCGTAATATTTCACCAGACAAGCTTTTGTAGAGTTTGAATTTCCTACAGGTGAATATAACGCTTAGTCAAAAACAAATTACATGGCTTTTAAAACTGTGCTTGAGAGGCAGGTTGGTAACGCAACTAGGCAGTTAGATGCATGGGTGCGGGGGCTGAACGGTCAGGTTCAAACCATGAATAGTTAAATCTCACCTCCCTGACCATGAGTTTCCTTACCAGTAAAATGGGCAAAATGATAGAACCTGCTGCCTAGGTTGTTGAGCCAAATAAGTTCAGTGCCGAACATCAAGCATAGTGTGTAAATTGGCCTGGAGTGGCCCCAGGGTTCCCGTTGTCTTGAACTCCCTCTTCATAGGCGGCTGCATGATTGCCTGCTCATGTCCTTCCTTCAAGCCTTTGTTCCAATGCTACTTTCTCGGTGAGACCATCCCTGAACACCAATTTAAATCTGCAAACCTCTCACCTAGCCTGGCCTTACAACTTCATTCAATGCCTTCCACTACCTGATGCCCCCCCTAAAAATTAAAAAAAAAAAACCCACCACCCACTGTCATCAAGTTGGCTCTGACTCCCAGCAACCCCACAGGACAGAGTAGAACTCTCCCATAGGGTTTCTGGAGCTATAAATCTTGATGGGAACCTCATTTTTCTCCTGTGGAGCAGCTGGTGGGTTTGAACTGCTGACCTTTCAGTTAGCAGCTGAGTGCCACCAAGGCTCCTGCTGTGTGTTAAGTATCTTCGAGTCAGTTCTGACTCATAGCCCCTGTGTATATAAGGTTTCTGGAGTAGCTCTTGAGTTTGAACAGCTGACCTTGTGGTTCAAAGTCCAGTGCTGATTCTACAGTGCCACATCAGGAGTCCCACAGGCTGCTTAAGGCCCGTGAAGAAATCATTTCTTCTGGCCCTGCCAAGACAATCACAGTTCCAGACATCACATTTGTTGTTGTTGTTGAGTGCTGTCAAGGACTCCAGCCATCACATTTGTTGTTGTTAAGTGCTGTCAAGTCAATTCCGACCCATAGCGACCCTGTATAGGGTTTCCAAGGAGCAGCTGGTGAGCTGTTCAAACGGCTTTGCAGTCTGACGCATTAGCCCACAGCGCCACACCTGGACTCTAGCCATCATATTAGGAGTGAATTAATTAAATGTTTGACCAAATAGAGCAGGCTAATTGTTAAGGTGATAGTTTTGTAAAAAAAAAAGTTCCTCATCCCTCAAGGTCAGTTCAAAACTACCAACCATTTAGCAGGTGAAAGAAAAGGCTTTCTGTTCCCGTAAAAATATACAGCCTTGGAAACCCTATGCAGGGTCGCTATGAGTCAGAACTGACTCCAAGGCACATCACTACCACCACCACCTCTCCTGTATAGTTTCCAAGGAGCGAGTTTGAACCACCGACCTTAAGATATGCAGTCCAGTGCTAATCCTACAGCGCCAAATCATGAGTCCTTTCTCTCCCTGTTGTTGTTGTTGTTAAGTGTAGTGGAGTCAGTTCCGACCCATACTGACCCTATATAGGGTTTCTGAGGAGCGACTAGTGAGCCTGAACTGCCGACCTTGCAGTTCAAAGTGACCTTGAGGTGGAGTACTTATCCTATGGCACCACACCAGAACTCCACTCACAATAAAACAAGTCCCACCAATTTGGTTTTTGTTTCCCAGTGCATATGAAAGTTCTGTTTACACTATAGTCTACTAAATGGAGGCAGGTGTGGTGCTACAGGATATAGCGCCGGACTACAAGGTTGATCTGAATCACAAGGTCTGTGATTCAAACTTGCCAGCCACTTCTTGGCAATCCTATACAGGGTTGCTCTGAGTCAGAACTGACTCAATGGCACTTAACAACAACAACAAAGTCTAGTAAATAAGCACCGATAGTGCAGTGAGTTAAGCGTTGGGTTACTAACTGCAAGGTCTTAAGTTCAAACCTACCAGCCACTCCATGGGAGAAAGATGGGGCGAGGCGTTCTGTTTCCATAAATATTTACAGTCTGGGAAACCCTACCTCGGGTCTCTATGAGTCGAAATCAACTTGATGACAGAGAATGGGGGTTCTTGGTGGGGGACATTCTATAAAGTATGCATTGTTGTTGTTAAGTGCGGTCCAGTCAGTCCCAACTCACAGCGATCCTGTATACGATTTCCAAGGAGTGGCTAGTCTAGTGTTTATCTTCCAGTGCCACACCAGTACTCTTTATTACAAAAAACTGGTGCCCATAGACTTGCTAGTCACAGAGAGTCACAAACCTTCAACGTGAGAAAAAATGCGAAGCACAGTAAAACCAGGTATGCTTGTAGACTGAAAGCAGTATGCCAATCATCTCCCCTTCCAAGACCTTCCCTGGCCCTGCTCGCCTGCATTCTGCAGAGATGCTGTCCCTATAGGACTCTGGGCTTCCCAGGGCTCTCGGGTCTCATGTGGGGAAAATATAACCCAATCATCCAGAGTCCAAAAAGGAAAAAAAATTCACAACCCTCAGAATCTTCTAAGAACGGGCTGCTTTACTAGCTAGGTTTTCCATGAGACAGCAACACCATTGCTCAACAGGAGAATATAGACAACTTCTCACCACGTCCAACACCTGTTCAGAGAAAAAAGGCTGAAGCCAGCAGTCTCCAAGAGTCTGTGGTTTAAAAAAGAGAGAAACAAACTGAAACCTTGCACTTTTGAGTTAAACCAGCAAGGAGCATCTTTCATCCTCTTGTGGGCCATTTCAGGTCAGTCCATTACTGTGGGTGTGACTTGACTTTGGGCTGCTATACCCACGGGTGGGTTTGAAAGAGGAGGCCGCTAGTCCAGCAATTCTCAAGCCACTCCTACGTCAGGACCAGCTGGCCGTCTGTGAACGCACCAGAGTTTCTGACTCAGAAAGTCTGGGATTCTTATTGTTGTTAAGTGCCATCAAGTCAGTTCCAACTCACAGCAACCATGTATATAGGGTTTCCGAGGAGTGACTGCTCAGTTTGAACCACCAACCTTGCAGTTCAAATGACCTTGCAGTCCAGTGCTTATCCTGCAGCACCACAGCAGGTCTGGGGTTGTTGTTATTAAGTGTCGTCAAGTCGGTTCCGACTCATTATCAACCCTGTATAAGGTGTTCAAGGAGGGGCTGGTGTGTTTGAACCACCGACGTTGTGGTTCAAACTAACCTTGCGGTCCAGTGCTTTATCGCACGGCGCCATATCAGTTCCCAGGTGAAGAGATGCTACTGGTTAAGAACCACACTTTGAGAATCACTGCTATAAGGCAGTCTTCCATATTGGGGTCTCATATGCCTCAAGTGTACACAAGTAACCGTGTACAAACACGCACACACACACACACACACACAGAGTGGTCGGGAGCCCCTGCTCCACCCATTGGTCCTCAGACAGCCACACCCACCTGGCAGGATTCTGGCCCTGAGACAGTGGTTCTCATTCAAGTCCAGCATGAGCCTGTCACTGAGAGGCTCACCTGAAGTTCTTAAAATCCAAAGTTCCTTTTCTGAGCATGATTATGAGCAGTCCCACCCTACTTTTACTCTTCACACATGGGTAAGCCCCAGCTGCAAGATCCGCTTTCTGCTCAGAGATGCTTTCAAGTTTCTGAAATCAGAAGCAGAAGAGGAAGCCCCTCCTACCAAAACAACACACACAAAACTGCAGGCCCCTCGAGGAGAGCGGCACCCTCCCTGGTAGAAGGCACTTCTCTCAAGTAGGGGACCCTATTGCCCCACCCTGGGCAACTCCACCACTCACCAAAGTAATCGGCCTTCGGGTGGGCATCCATCTCCCGCTCCAGATGCTGGGTGAGGGCTTCTAATTTCAACTCGGCAGCTGAGGGTCCAAGCTCGGGTCCAGGGGCAAGGGTTTGGCAGGGCAGTCTCACCCTGGGGGGACTGGGGCTCTCTGAGAGCACAGGACCCAGGCTGCCATCATGGGACCAGCCAAGGGGACCCTCTTTCCTAGATAATTCAGGCAGGGTGGGTATTGCTGGATGGACAAGGTTGGTGGGGCTGAGCTTCGGACCAGTTCCAGGGTCTGTGCCGCCAGGCTTGGGACCTAGCCTAGAGGCCACACCCATCTGTGAGTTGCCCATGCCTGCAGATGAGGATGATGGGACAGAACTCGAAAGGTAGGATTTGGGACCATCCTGGAACCAGGGTTTGGGGTCCACAGTGGATTTGGGCATCATGCCAGAAACGTCACTCCCCATCCCTGAGTTTGTTCTTAGAAGAGTTCCTTTACTGGTCAGGGATGCTGAGAAAGAAGGAGCCCTGGACTGGGGGGGCCCATTCTCTGGGCCTGAGGAAGGAACGCCAGAGTTTACACGCTGGGAAGAAGAGGTGGACCAAGAGCCCACTGGCTTCTCACTACCACGGCCACCAATACCACCATTTTGGCCACTAAGGCCACTCTCAAAGGACCTGCTGGAGGCCCTAGACAGCTGCGGTTGGTACAGGCGATGATCCCCAGAGGGTTTGGACAGTGATGAGTCACTCCCTGGGGGCTCAGACCATCCACTCCCTGAACCGTGGCCCCACTTTGAGCTTGCCATAGAGAGGTTGTCATAGTAGTCTCCATGAGTGGGACAGGAATTATCTTCGCAGGGGCCTGGTTGGTGGAAAGCAGACAACTCAGAACTGTCCGGACCCTCCCCAGACACACACTCCTGGTTGCCATGCCGCAGGCCATGGGCAAACAGCTTGGCCCTCTGCTCCTGGGCTGCGTATAAGGGCTGCCCAGTAGCAATGGTGGTGGCTGTCCCAGGTGCCACTGCAGAGGCAGCAAGAGGAGGCTTGGCGGCACCATCCAGGGCTACCTTGTTGCCCAAGCGGCCCCCACCATTGGCTGGGCCTTGGCCTCCCCTGGGCAGGGTCTCCTCCTGCAAGAGCTGTTGCTGCTGCCGGAGGTGGATTTGGGCCATCTTGGTGGCAAACACTCTGCGAGTTTCCTCAAACTCGGGGTTGTTTCCCGCACCCTTGTCCACTCGGAAAAGTCCATCCTTGGAGGCCTCGTACATGTTCAGGTCCTCAATGAATTTACTGGCCTCCAGGCCCAGGTCGTCATACTTATCCATGTTGCTGCCAGGTGCTATGGCTTAGCTCGGTGTCCGGTGTGAGTGATGCGAGGCAAGGAAGAGAGAATGCTGGGGAAGGTTCGAGGTTCAAGTCCAGCCCTGGGCAGGTAAAGACTTCCACCGGTCCAACATCAGGGTCATGGCCCCAAGTCTTAAAAGTCCAGCAGTTCAGGTCTCAAGGCCAGATGGAAGAAGTTTTTCTGTCGTTCTCCAAAGCGCGTACACGTGGGGTCGCCTGGTGGTGTTTCACTGTCCACCGTCTGGCGTGAGAAGTTTTTGTGTTTTTTTTTCAAATCATAAAAAGAAAAAGAAATTATCACACAAACAACAAAAAAAATCACATCCTCTTTAAGCACTCAAACTCGGAAACCCACAACATGGCAGCGAGCAGCCGTTGGGCGGAGGCCGGGTGAAGTCGGCAGGGCCGGGAGTGAAGACGCCGCCAGACGGGCCCGAGCGGAGCGAAGGCGCGGCTGCAGCAGGCGCTGGCACGTCCCGCGGGCTGGTGTTCCCGTGATTTTCCTCCGGCGGCCCTGGGGCTGCAATCCCAGCCGGGGCGACGGGGGAGCGCGGGCCGGGATGCACGGACCGGCCCGCCGCCTGAGTCCTGACGGACCGACTGACGGGCCACGGCAGGAAGTTCACAGCAGCCGGTGTGGGCGGCCCATTGTCCAATGGCGACAGTGGCGCGGCGCGCGCGGGCCTGAGGGCAGCGGGACGCGGAAGTGAGTGAGTGGCTCGCTCGCCGGCCCGGCACCTCTCAGGTCCCGGAGGAGGCGGAGGCGGAGAAGGCGGCTGAGGGGCGGGGGCGCCACCGAGAGGCGGGGACTGCGCGCGGGCGGGTGCCCCGGGGCAGGCCTGCGTCCCGCTGCGCCGCGAGCCTCCCGCTCCCGGGTCGGGGAACTCGGAGCTGAGCCTAGTCTGTGCATCCCGCGCTCCAGCTCAGGGTGCGCGGGAGTTCCCCGCTGCCACTACCGGCGCTGCCCCGGAGAGTCCCGCCCAGAACCGGTGTCTGGCCTCCCTTCCCTGGCTGGTACCTGGCCCGCCCCGCCTTGGAAGCCCTGGGCGGAGGCCTGGGCGCGGAGACGGCGGGCTAGACGGCCTGAGCAGCCTGCGGGAGATAGCCCGCCGGGAGTTTGTGGGAAGCCCACCCGGTGAGCCGATCGAAGCTGCCTGACACTGCCGGAACCGTGCCCGCCTCCTGGATTGCCCAAGGCGCGCGCTGGATGTCCAAGGTGTCCCTCGTGGAGCTGGCCCAGCGTCCTCACTTTGACATAGGGAAGACTGAGGCATCGAGAACGAAGTGTCCACGATACCAACGTGACTTACAAAGAGTGGATGCGAGTCCAAGACCATTTAAAGAGGGGATGGGGGAACGTCCTGTTTTCCCTCAAACCACATGTGTTTGAGAACTCCGTGCAGTAGCTATAAAGACATGCTTTAGGGGGCTCCTTACTCATCCGGGTACGCCTGACCTACAAGTATATTCATGCGCCTCTGGGGACGCCGGGCTTCACTCCTGGGCGCTCCCGCATGGTCCCACGCTTCCTGCACCAGCTCCGGGATGACCCTGGAGAAGCTTCATATCCCACATAGCAGTCTGAGTAATACAATCACTTCCCTGCTGGTCAGTGCTTCCCCGACACATGGATTAAAATAGCCTCGGACTGTGGCCTTCCCTGTCTCCCGACCTGAATTGCCACCCCCCACCCTGGGCTCTGGCTCCTCCAAAAGGCTACAGTCCTCCCTTTGTTCTTTCCAAAGCCCCTTTGTTTCCGCACAGTCAGGATCAGCGTTTAGAATTATTGATTTGCCTTAAACTTTGGCTGGTTGGTTGGTTGGTTTTCTGCCCCATTGGATCAAATTCGGACTATTTACTGCAAGGCTGGCGGTTCGAATTCTCCTCAGAAATCCTATACAGGGTCACTAAGAGTCGAACCGACTCCATGGCACCTAACAACAACCATGATTTACAATCTCATGAAGCATATTGTTGTTAAGTACCGTACACACCTTGCTTAGGGTTTCCAGGGAATTATTGGTGGGTTTGAATCACCAATCTTGTACTTAGCAGTCCAGTGCTTACCCTACAGCGCCAGGGTCGCTATTAGTCCAAGTCGACTATCGAAATGGATTTGGTTTTTGATCTTAGATCAAATCTGTGTCCCCAGGGCCAGTACACACTAAGTGAATTAGTGGATCTCTAGTTGCCAGGGTTGTGAAGAGGATATGTGTCTAAGGACCAGTAGAATTTCAACAACTGGGAGCTGGTTGGAAATGCAGGCTCTGAACCCCAACCTAGCCAAGGCTCCTAAATCAAAATCTGCATTCTTAACAAGATCACTGCATGGTTTGAGAAACACTGTTATAAAGCACTGTACATGAATAAGGTATTTTTATTGTTTTAAAATCTTCATCAGTTTTTTATCTGCAAAAGTAATAATGCTTCAACAATATAAGTAAATAAATAAAATGTCAAAAAAGTACTATATGATTTTTTAAGTTTATGATAACTTTGAACAATTTAAAAAATAAACATTGACCACAATTACCTTACTTAGAAGCAGTCTTGATTAAAAGCCCTCACATGTTCAATAATAATTGTTAATTTATTATTGGATCTACTTACAAACAGAGTGATTTCCTTATGAATAGTTTATAACAGGGAGTCCTGGTGTGGCTTTGTAGAAAAAGCACTGTGTTGCAAACTGAAAGGTCATCAGTTCAAACTCACCAGCTGCTCCTTGGAAACCCTATACAGGATCACTATGAGTCAGAACTAACTTAACAACAGCAATAACTGTAACAGTGGTTGTCGAAGTATGGTCCCTAAACCAGCTTCATCAGCATCATCTGGAACTAGTCTAGAGAGAAGAAAAAAACCCAAGTCTTGAAACTTGATTTCCAGGCCTTTCTTCTGAGCTCTCTGGGTAGACTCTAACCACCAACCTCTTGGTTAATAGTTGAGCACTTAACTGTTTCTGCCACCCAGGGACTCCTTAATTTAATGGTGGTGGTGGTGGCGGTGTGCTGTGGAGTTGGTTCTGATTCACAGCAACCCTGCATGGGATTTACGAGGCTGTAAATCTTTAGGGGAGTAGAAAGTCTCATCATTCTCCTGCAGATGACTGGTAGTTTCAAACTGCTGACCTTCAGGTTAGTAGCCCCACTTGTACTAATTAGTAGTGGAGCACAAACCATGTACTAACCAAAAATTGGCAGTTGGAATATTTGAAAATCTTAAGGAGTCAGGATTAATCACTAGGAGGCTTGACAATCAGTGTAAGGAGTGCTGGTGTGGCGCTGTGGGTTAATGAGCCCGACTTCAAAGCCGTTTGAACTGCAAGGTCAGCAGTTCAAGCTCAGCAGCCACTCCTCGGAAATCCTATACAGGGTCACTATGGGTCGGAACCGACTTGATGGCACTTCACAACAACAACAAGGGATTCTGATGCATAGTCACTTTTGGCAACCACTTGTCTAGAATAAAAAAGCCCTAATGGCGCTATAGGATAAGCACTGACTGCTCAGAAACCCTATACAGGGTGACTATGAGTTGGAATCAACTCAATGGCAGTGGGTTTAGTTTGGTTTGGGGTTTGGCTAGACTAGGCCCCCTCGGTGGCGGAAACGCTTTGTGTTCAGCTACTAATGAAAAGGGAGTCCCTGCTGGTACCAACTGTTAAGTAAATACTCAACTGCTAACCACAAGAATAGTGCTTTGAGTCTACCCAGAGACACCTTACAAGAAAGGTCACCCAGTGATCTAGTCTAAACCAGGAGTTCCCAAACTTGATCATGCATGAGAATCTCTTAGGAGGCATGTTAAAACACTGGTTGTAAAGCCCCACCCTAGCATGTCTGATTTATCCATTCTGGGGTGGACCGTAAGAATCTACACATCTTCAGTGACCCTGGGAACCACATTTTGAGAACCATTAGTGTATATGTAGTCCACTCTGAAATGTGTGTGTGGAGGCAGGGGAGATGCTGAGAGAGGGAAATACTAGGAACATATGGCCAGTCTTGTGCAACATCTAGTCATCTCAAAGGCCTGTTTTCTAAGTGCTCAGTTCTAATAGCTGGGGACCAGTGCAGCAGATAACACCAGCCAGGGGCTCTTACCAGTTAACTACTCTTTTCATTCAAGCTTGGCACCCACCAGGGTCCATGCTCCCTGTTTCCTTCCTGCCTCCTTCCATCTTGGCTTACCTGAAATGCTTAGCCTTCCAGGTCTTGCCTTCACACTTTACCCCAACTGTAGTTCTAGAACAGTTGCACCATCGCCACCTGAACCCACAATCCACGTATTTCCTGCCCAGACAGGCCTATCCCATCTTACACTTTGGAGCACCTACAGTTTTACGAAACCGCTCATCAAGTTGACGTCCCATGAGCATCAAACCACATCCTATCCCACCATGAAAGGATCCTTAGAGATGCTAGAAATAGCTGGGAGACCAATGTTTTACAGCTGCTATTTCATTCTTGTGTGGCGCTGTAGAATAAATACTGAATTGCTAACCACAAGGTCAGCAGTTCAAACCAACTAGCCAGAGTCTCTTCTAACAACATTTTTGTGTTCTCCTTCTTTCATGTCTTCTTAATGAACTTTTTGTTCATGTGATTAATATCTCTCAAGAATAAATACTGAATTGCTAACCACAAGGTCAGCAGTTCAAACCAACTAGCCAGAGTCTCTTCTAACAACATTTTTGTGTTTTCCTTCTTTCGTGTCTTAACGACCTTTTGTTCATGTGATTAATATCTCTCAAAAAGTACGTTTGCATCCTTGCACACCTTTGTCTTCCCACTAAGGAGGTGGAGCATTGGTGGTTTTATGTAAGTGGTTTCTAGTTAGGTTTGTTGGTGTGAGAAATGTTCAGCGTTCAGCATTCTATTTTACCTGTAAACCATGGAAACAGGGCAACAATTATTCACAATGGCAGGTAACGTTGATAACTTAGGAGCTTTCCTTTATCTCTGAAATATATTTTCAT